TATATTTGCATATGTACATGTCTTTATCTAGACCTCTATAAATGCCCTTTGCCTCCCAGCTCTTTCTTCTATTTCTCTTGATTTTCCTCCTGTCCCATTATCATGCTCAGTCCGGTGGGTCAGATTTTAATGTCCAGCCCATAGGGCCAGCGGCTGCAGTCACTCAGGTGGTGGCCGGCCGGCCTCGTCAGGGCCTTCCGCTGTCCCTTAATCTTCAGGCACCAGTTCCACGTCCAGCTCGAGTTGGCCCATGTAGAGGCCGACTGCGCAGGCCCAAAGCAGGCTGACGGCCAGCACGGCCCCCACACCCACGGGGGCACCCCCTAACGAGAGCTGCATGGGCCCCCGTAGGGCAGCCAAGTCCACGGCGTAAGAGGCGCTGCCCCAGACCACGCCCAGGCCGCCCGGCAAGAAGAAGCCGTAGGCGGCTTTCCGACCCAGGTCACGGTGCATGAAGGGGATGACCCAACCCCGGACACCAGGAGGCCATTTCGGAACCACCAGAGGAAGGCTGTCTCCTGCGCCTTCCGGGGGAGCCAGGCGTCCGCACGATCCGGTTCGGACACTGCGGGCGGCGAAACCCGGGCGCGAGGGCTGTGCGCGGGGGCCAAGGGCCTGGGGAGGCCCCGCTCCGGGCAGCTGTGGCGGCACCAGCGCCGCCCCCACCCCCCAGCGGAGTCGGGCGAGGCGGGCAGCCCGCCCACCACCAGCCGCCTCCCACAGTTCGTGCTACAGCCAGCGCCAACCTTTAACCTTTTGTAGATGAGCACAAGCCGGCAGTACCTGGGGATCTGTTTCAAGTATAATACATTCATTTAGGCTATGGAAGTCACGAATTCATAAGAACACGTCAGACTCTGCCTGGCTTCTAGTTTTCATGACATCTGTCCCTCACATCTTTCTCGAATACCATCAACTCTGGGACCAGTCCTGGTATTCAGTATTCTAGCTCAGGTCTTGAGCATAAAGCCTCAAATACTGTACCTCTGACCTCATTTCCCTGCGATGTGAATCCGTTTCGCCCTGTCCAAGTGCCTGAGTCTCAAGTTCAGTAGTGTCTCTACTACTCCAGGAAACAAATTTGAAGTCCTGGAGGGAACCATTACATTAACTTTATTTTTGTCATCATTGCCCTACTCCTGGGGGTACCCCTTTCAGGAATGGGAGTTGCCTTGACTTGGTCGCTCTGGCTGAGCCCACTTCCTGAGGTACTGACCTGTTACCAGTCAGCTGGTTCTTTATCATTGTGCCTTAGCCACCTTTGGGGCTATTTCTGATACCTCACCACGGACAGCTCCTGCTGACTCACCCCTTCTTGGCAGTACTTCTTTCCCCTGTCAACAATGTTCCATTCAATGCGTATTTACTGGATTTCTGAAAGGGTATCGACCACTGCACATCGGGATTCTCTGAAATCAGTAATTGAGGGGGGACATGGACCTTCAGCTCCAAATGTGACTCTCAAATACATAATTGTCTTGCCATTACTGCTGCCACTATCACACCGGCTCTACGCAGGAGAACGAGGCTACCTTGACTCTGCTGGTGTAAGGAAAAACTCTTAAATTCTGTCATAATACCCCTTATCCAGTTGGGACCAGACTGGAATACATACAACTTTCCTCGAGGCTTAGAGATGACAGGGAAATAAAGGCAGAGTGCACAAGATGGCTGCGTGAATTTACAGGGATTTTGTAACTACATACCACAAACTGGATGGCTTATAAGAACAGGGAGATGTTTCCTCACAGTTCTAGAGACTAGAAGCCAAAGTCAAGGTATTGGTCATACTGCTTCCTCTTGTAAGCTCTGAGGGAGAATCTCCCTCAGCTTCTGGTTCTTGGCACAGAAGGGACACGTGCTGACAGCAGTCCTATAGCGGCAGTCAAATTCAAATACAAGAAAACGGAGGGCATTATGGCAGTGCAGTTTTTTTCTTTTTTCCCATGAAGCCAGTTCTTCAATATGGTTTTAGGCATCATTTCTGGAAGCATAACCATGAGCCTTGTTATGGATTGGATTTCACCCCTTAGAATATGTGCTGAAATCCCAAACCCTATAACCGATGGAAGCAATCCCATTTTAGCATATGGTGTTCTTTGCATGTTACTGAGGCCATGTCAGTATGAGGCCATGTCTCT